CTGTGTGTCTAAAAAACAGCTAAATTTGTTTTTTTTAGAAAATGAAAGTTGCACAAAAGAAGCGAGGAGCTATTTGACCTGGAACTGCCTGCCTTTAGTGCTGGCAGGGACTCCTCTTCCATTGTGCAAGCTACTCTCTCCTAACCCCATTCCACCAAAGCTTATTCTGCTCGTGCTCTGCTGCAGGGGCATGTGCTTTCAGTAGCCATAATCTGCCAAGCTCTGCTCCCAGCACTTTCAGGCACGGATCTCTGGCAGCACATCTTCCCTAGGAGAGGAAGCCCTGCACTGAACCTGCTTTAAAAACTGTAGTAGGAGAGGTGAAACTGGAAAAATAGCAGACCACAAAAAAAAAAAAAAAGAAAATGGTTTGTAAAAATAATTTTGAAGCTGTTTTTCCTTATTTATAACATGAATATGTTCTTTGGTCACATAAATATGATAAACTGCACATTTAAGCTGCTTTTTGTAATACAGGAAATCTTGTAATATTGTTGAAGTTCAATTTCCACTAGTCAAAATAATTTATGATTGGTCTCCTACCATTGCGTAGGTGTTGCTTATTTTAAAACAGGATAAAACATTTGCTTTGTTATACCTAGGCTCAAACATCACAGCACGTTTCAGGTTATCACAGATTGAAAGCTCCACCAATGCAGCTTCAACATATTTGCCTTTTTTCCTCCCTCCAAGGCAACACCAGTTAAATGCATTTGATAAAATCAATACTGCATCTTCATTGTGGTAACATCCAGCATCTCTGAGCTTGGATTCTTATGTCGTTATCAGGCACAAATATAGACAGCTCCTGTGCTGCAGGACCAACACAATGTTGTAGCAACAGCAATAATCCGACGATAAATAACTTGATCAAATACTGATTTGATATATTCAATTTTTACATGATCTGCCAGGACATTAATTGTGTATTTGACTTATTTTATGTTGTAGTTTGAGAAAAATAAACATGACTCTGGAAGACCAGGATGTCACACACTGACAATGATCATAATAGGAGGTAACTATGTTGCTTATTATTTCTGAAACCTAAAATAATACCTGATCTGTGTTCAGCAGTGACATTCAGTCTTCTAAGGAGACTGTTTTTTTTTTCTCTTGTTCTCAGCAACATAAGTAAGCAATTCTTCACTGTGGCCATTTTGGCACAAAGAGGAAGTAGCAAAAATACAAACCTTTCTTTAAGAATTCAGCCTTCGATTCTTAAGCCATTTTCTTTATTTCTCCAGTATTTTACAATGGAAATGGAAAGTTTTTTGTAGGTATAATCCCCTTCACTTTTAGGGCAGGGGTTGGCAACCCGTGGCTCAGAGCTGCTTGCAGCTCTTTAGTGCCTCCCTTGCGGCTCCCTGGACCTTTTTCCAAAATTTATGATCATTGATTTTTTTTTTTTTTTTTATGGTGTGCAGGAGGTCAAAATATCATTCATTATGTTTTCCAATGCTGTAAAAATTTGTATAATAAATAAATTTAAACAATAAATTTAAATGTTTCAAAGAAAATTTGCGTCATAGCCATAGAGATCAGTGGTCATAGCCTACAACACATTTCAGTGCGGAGCAGCGCCAGGTAAATAAAGCGACGGGTGTGTCTTGGACCATGGATCCCAAAAGGAAAAAAAGGACCTGATGAGAACAGATGATTCAAAGAAGAATCGAGCGAATCATTTGCTTTCATTATCAATGCGGAAGGATTGCCTGCATGTTTGCTTTGTAACGAGAAGTTGTCAAATAATTAAAAGAAGAATTTGGAAAGGCATTTCCAGAGAGGGCATCCTAAATATGTAGCCGACCACCAAGTTGGGAGTGAGAGAAAAAGTGCAATTGCAGAACTTCTGGATAAATTAGAGGAGAGCAAAGATAAATTTAAGACGTGGATTGCATCTCCAAACTGCGCTACTGCTGCTCGTTTTGTTGCTAACATGGAAAACTGTTCATAGATAGAACAGGTAGCGCTCTGATGCATGGATGGGAAGTTTCTTATATTTTTCCACAAATCCTCAAAATAAAAATAACACTAGGGAACGCTGGTGACAGAGGATGTGAGATATCGGGGTTAGAGAGCACTGTTCTGATGATGTCAGCTCCTGCTTGCTTCCTCATGACTCAATCAACTCCTCCCAACAGAAACATGTTCAACATAAAAAGATTTCTTTATTGTGTTTCTAGAATTTTGTCAATGCACCAACACCTAAACTGCGCAGTGATACTGTGTGTGTGAATTCCACGCACTGAGAGCGTTCACTGCTCACCTCATGCTACTATGTGACATTTGCTCCAGGATAAACATTTACTCATGTATGCTTATTATATATTTAAGCCCACGTAGTCCTTTTTTTATAGTGGGCTAATACACTTAGAACCCGTGTTGCCATACAAGCCTCATATAAGAGTTTTACATTTTTGCAGCTCCAGAGAGATTTGTTTCTTAGTTTTTGGTCCAAAATGGGTCTTTGAGCAGTTTGGGTTGCCGACCCCTGTTTTAGGGGCATGGTTACCTCGAACTGGTTGAATTTGCACACTGAGCTTAGTTTTAAGTGTAGCTGCAGATATAAAACTGGCAGTCATGTCTGTATATTTTCTGGTTCCTTAGAAATATGTCCATAATTCAGTTATTAATGAAATACAGGACAAAGTAAAAGGGCATCTAAACTCAAACTCAATTACTTGAAAAATAAAGCTTAATTGCTGTAGGTAGGTTGTAAGGCTAACCACACACGCAGCCTTGGGTTAGCAGGTGGTGTTCCACCATTGTAACATGGCCATTTAGAACAGTTTGCTCTGTGTGCACAACATCGGAGCATTGGTGGTTCTTCTTTATGGGGAGTGACGGCCTAGTGGGTAGGGCATAGGGCTTTTTAGCCCACTGCTCCCAAAGGGGATGGGTTAAATGCAGAGAAGTAATTTCCCTCTGGGATTATTAAAGTATAAAAAACAACAACACACAAAAAAAACTACGGATGTGACAGAAAAAACATCTGTTTTTTTAAGAAAAGCTATTATGGCAGCTAATCGTTGAAACTTCAAACAATATAAACAGCTATTTGGGGACATAAAAAAGGGCCATCAATCTGCAACCTGACTGTTACGGTCACAGAAAGAGCTATTGCATTATGGACTGTGATTGGTCCGCTCAGTTTTAGACCAGTGAATATTAAGTCTCCCCGCCCAGGCTTCCACCATTACTCTTCCTATTTTAAACAGAGAATGAATCATATATATCTTAAATTATAGCCCCTATCTCCCGTTTCTTGCTCCTGTCCTTCACCTTTTGCAGGTTCAACAATAAAAACTTTATCCAGGGTAGAAGCGGAGATCCAGACAGCTGGGCTGAATGCAGACAGCCTTAAGGAAATCACTACTGGATGAAAATACACATGAATGATGCTGGTCAAATTTGGACTACAGCCTTCTAGAAAAGAATGAAAAAAAACACCAAAAAAGTTGCATAAAGCTAGTTAACGCCAATAACCCAAAAGGGTTCATGTGAAGAAGTGTTTTTGTTAAACTCCGTGATGAGAACTGTGCTTATATGTCATGCAAAAGATTATGGGCTACTTTATAGCACCTAGGGGCAGCTAGGAATGTCAGAGGGTCGTGTCCCTACCCAATCCCTCCCTGAAGCACAGTCCGTACCATCAGCTCATTTGCAAATGCACATCCAGATAAACATCCGGGTTTCCTTAAATAATGTAATTTTGGTACTAAAAAACTTATTTATATCCTTAAATCAGTAAAGAATACTAATACACATCTTTAAAAAAAAGGACAATTTTTATGTTTTTTGATATTTTCTCCATTAAACTGCTTCTCTGACGTCATCATCGGACATGCTCAGAGCAGTCCGGCAAAATATGATTAAACCATGTTTATCTGCATATTAGTTCTTTCTTTCTTTAGGTTACGTGCCATATACCATAAGGTAAAAAAAAAAAAAAAAAAAAACTAAAAAAGACTGGATTTATATTTATATCCACATCCCAAAAAGTATACTCCCGGAAGTAGCACAGGATCCCATTTCCAGTACAGATCGGGCACAGAGGAGCGGTAAAACAGAAAGGATTTTTAAAGGAATTTATTTTCTCAGGAAATACATTATAATATGCTTACTTTTTTGGGGAGGGAAAAACATAATTTAGGCATTTTTTTACAAAATAAAATCAAGGGCGACCCGAATGTAAATCTGGTTGCGCATGTGCAAATGAGCTGATGGTATGGATCATGCTTCCGGTACGGATTGGGCAGTGACAGGGACATAAATCAATAAGCACTAGGAAGCATTCTGCTTCCTGATTCTCACTGCTTCCTTACTACCAGCCCTTTCAGGTAGATCTAATTATGGCGACAGCTGAAATACTTTGGTTTTAGCTTTAGTGTCCTTACAGATTGAAGTTATTTGGACCAAGCTTGAAAAAGAGGCACATACCAGAATCCAATTTAAAATGTTAAACTGTTTATTTGTTTTTTTTTATTATTATTTTTATACTGTTTACATTTTCTATTTAAATTAGAAACACTTTACATTACATTTGAGCGTGACTATTTTAGCGATAATCAAAAATAAATGAGCAGGCTATATCCTTGCGGGCAATTACATTGACAGCAGTGACTTTCAGCATGTTCTCTTTTTTCAGACTAGAGCTATGAAATTTACTTTATGATGTTTATCAAAGTGAAATAATATCCATCCATCCATTTTCTGTCAAGCTTGATCCCTTCTGCGGTTACGAGGGGTGCTGGTGCCTATCTCCAGCTGTATGACATTATATAAACCTAATAATGGTTTCTCCAATTTCAAGAAGCGTCTTATTTATCTTCCGTGTGATTTTTTTATGAGCCTGTACGTGACAATGTTGTACATGTAATACAACTTGCAGCAATTTCAGGTAAGTCTATTAAAAACCCACTGAAGACACATTTGCAAACCGAGAGGCGTTAAACCCAGGCAACAGGGACACGTTAGCGTTGCCATTAGTGGTAATGATGGTAATGAAGGGATCTGTCACACTAAACAGATGGGAGAGGCTAAAAGACACAAGGAACGAGGGAGGGGAGAGTGTGTGTCTGTGTGTGGGGGTGTGGGTGTGTGTGCAAAAAGGCTTTAGCTTTTGCGTACATCCCTAGAGAAGTGGCCCGTGGAAAAAAAAGTTGAGTGCACTCTTTTTTCAGTTCTCCTCCATACGGCTTAACAGTGGAGGAAAGCATGGAACCCATCCCCCAGTGGATTATTTCTCTGACACTGTTAAGCCCCCCCATACTCCCACGTCCAGGCATTTCTGAAACACATGTATTCATTATGAGAGACCCTTAATGCACCAAACACCCAGGCAAAGCACACCACTGGAGAACCTCTTCCCTTCCAACCCCCTTCTTTATCTGCATTGTTCTTCTGCAAATGCCTTTTATTTATCCCATCATGCACAAAACCGTCCACACACACCCACACTAACGCAAACAGTAAGCACACTTGGGTTTATCTGTGCACGCCTGAGAAAACAGAGAAGACAGCCAGTTACTCTGTCGTACCGGCTGGAGAACTCCGTCATTTTCAGGTGTTCAGAAATCCGAGGCAGAGAGAGAATTATTTGTGACCACTTCCTTGGACACAAGCAGCTTTTCCAGTTATATAAGACAGGTTGGTGAGCCCTTACAGAGGAAAGCAGGCCACTCTTGTGTTTGCATGGCGTGTCCTCAGCTTGGTCTGTGGCATATTGCGTCTCTGCATGAACATCCATGAAAGCATGTGAGAGAGATTAGCTATTTGTGTGCCTTCTCTATTATGCAGCATGCAGCATTTTTGTGTGACTGCTTCACAGAGAATGGGAACGCCAGTGATTTAAAACTGTGTGTCTGTGACTCCTCGGATGATGCATGAACAATGCTTGCATTATCAGCTCTCTGGGTGTGTACCAATGTCCAAACTCATGTGAATGATTTGGAACGAGTTCCTGAACTTAGGTCAAAGCATCCAGACTCAAAAACACACTCACACACACATAAAGTAATCTGAATTAAAATAAAAAACATTTACACAACACCTGTTAAAGTTTATCTACATAAAAAACATACAAAAGTATGCAAAGTATTTGTTCTGTTTCAAATTGTGTCACATAACCCTAAACATTTTAATAAATTATTTGGCCCCATGGAACTTTTTGACCTTTTGCCACCTTTCCGGCTTCAAACATTTTTTTTTTTCAGAAGAATCAACAAGTGGAACTAAATTAATTGGATATTTTAAACATTTTTATCAAATAAAAAAATGGAAGCCCCTTTACTTTCAGTACAGCTATCTCTCTCTAGAAGTTCATTGAAGATCTCTGATTTGGATACACAAAAAGTTCCCAAGTTTTAAACATCCCACTGAGCACTGTTCAAGCGATAATATTGAAATAGAAGGGATATTATAACAAATCTACGAAGACCCGGCCGTCCCTCTAAACTTTCAGCTCAAGCAAGGAGAAAACTGATCACAGTTGCAGCCAAGAGGCCAATGATCACTCTGGGTGAACTGCAGAGATCTACAGACTCAATCAGTTGTAGTCAGCAAATAACTGTCCTTTATAGTAGAAAGCCATTTTTTAAAAGCTATCCATAAAAAGTCTCGTTTAAAGTTTGCCACAAGCCACCTGGTAGACACAGCAAACATATGGAAGAAGGTGCTCTGGTCAGATAAAACCAAAATCGAACTTTTTGGCAGCAATTCAAAATGTTATCTTTGGTGTAAAAGCAACACAGTTCTTCACCCTGAACAGACCATCCCCACTATCAAGCATGGTGGTGGCGGCATCATGGTTTGGGCTTGCTTTCCCTCAGCCAAAGATGGTTAAAATTGATGGGAAGGTGAATGGTACCAAATGGGTCAAATGCATAAGTGGGCCGGTGTAGATGGAAAAATGCCAGGGCTGAAAATCTTTCCCAGTCCGAGCCTGATCCAACCTCACTGGACTCCACCTGTTTTGCAGGATGAATGGACAAAAATTTTCATCTCTCGATGTGCAAAACCGATAGAGACCCGAGTACCCCAACTGACTTGCAACTGTAATGTTAAAGGTGGCTCTACGATGTATTGACCCAAGGGGGCTGAATAATGTTGCAAACCCAATTTATCAGTTTTATTATTTGTTATAACAATTCAAAATATGATTGTGTCCCACTTATCTTTCATCATTAATCATATCTTTATGTTTAAAGCCTGAAATGTGGCAAAAAGTAAAAAAAATTCAAGGGGGTTGAATACTTTTTCAAGGCACTGTAGAAAAACCAACACAATATCACTCCAAAAAGAAAATACGGCTCCAACTTAAAGGAATTGCTTCAATTGGTAGCAAGTAATTTAATTAAGTTGATCCAACTAACTGAATAAAAATGAGATCTAAATTTTAAAGATGCAATGTATTTGTAAAAAACAATTAAAAGCCATATTTCCTTTTTTTCCCCCTTAGAAAAATGAAGCACTACTTTTTTTAATCAATGATGCATATCCCAGTAATAAAAACAAAACATTGAAACTTAGGATCGGAAACATGATTATATGTGTAAACAAAACCTTGTGGTTAAAAAATATTGCAAGGCGGTAAATTGATGGAAATGCTTGACAAATTTCACATTAGAGTAAAATAATTGGTTATCCTCGTCCCTACAGTAACCTTTAATACACAGAGCACATGAGTAGGACTGCTGTATACGCTGCTGTTTCCATGCATAAGACACCCGTCTTTGGATAGAAATAATATAAAAGAACTATTCTGAAATTTCTACTTTAAAAGTGACAAATGGAAAGTATGCTCTGACCTATGGATCTACTGTGAGGTGTGTCACCCTTAAAGAAGTAAAACATATACAAGAAGAGAGAATGTTATTAGTCCCCAGAGTCTCTCGGGAAGTCAGAGGCAACATGAAGTTTGTTTTTCAAATATCTTGAGGTGCAGAATGCAGACAACCTCCTCTGCCTGAAGAGACCCCATCAGCGACCTGCAGGTTCACAGTGGGATGAATGAAAAATAAACATGTAATGAAAATTTTTTTAAAGTTTTATTCAGCAGCTTTCATCCCAATTGTGCCGCTACTGTTTCTTTCTGATAGGCACACAAGCAAAAAGTGATGAGTCTGAAAAACGAATGAATTTGTCATTCACTTCTCATGTCCTTCATATTTCCACACGCTGTGATGCTTTTTATCACCATTATGCTCCAACACACTATTTTAACACACTCTTTCAGCACCATGTGCTCACTCGCAGACACAGCAACAGGAAGATGAAGGTTAAGATGGTAGCCAGCCAGCAATTATTTGATATTTTCTTCGCTTTTATTAGTACCTCTTATTTAATGAAGGAAAAACCCACAATGGTCAAAAATAGCTTGATTCTGACAAATGTACCAATACATAAAAACTCTATGGAAATGAGCAAATAAAAGTTAGATGTTACTTTTCAACCATACTTCTAAAGAATAAGTTCAAAAACAGTCCTGGACAAAAAGTCATGGTAACCCTAGAAAAAATAACGTGACCAAATAGATATGTTAAATCAAGATGTATTCAGTGTGACCGCAACATTATTTTGTACAGAAATGCAGACTAGTAATGCAGGTTAACAACATTAATAACATATAAACCAGATCTGATCTGTTGAGAGTTTATGATATTCAGGGTGTGATGATAATAGAACATAATTTGAGAGAAAATCAATACTTCCTATTCAACATGATACATTTAAAAGTTTTACTACGCCATCTAAAGCAATTACCACAAAGCAGATCAGCTGTTCAGCCTGAGCATACTGACAATCTTTGCTCCAAAATGGCAGCATTGCTGATGTAAAAATTCACGCAACTCTGCATCTAGCTATTTTACATCTATTGATTTGATTGCTGGGACTGATGGCTTTTAATATTTGAAAACTCGAAAGCTTGCTGTCACCCTGAAGTACTATAGTAAAGGAGCATAGAACAAGTCCTTAGACAGGTTTAACTGCAAGACTGAACCTTTTTAATGTTTTCTGAGCCGTAGAAACCTTTTCTCTCAATTCTAGACAATGTCTAAAGAAAACGTCCTGAAACCCTTCTGACCGCTCCCACTTATATTTGGGTTTCTGCCCAGTGAAAAGAAGACGTTTTACTGTCTACTTATGTTGGTCTTATATTATATTAATAACTAACTTAGGGTCTAAAGCCATTAACATAAAGATCTCATATAAAATGCTGCTGTATCTAAACATGTGTTAAATATTTAAAGGAGGAATATGGGTTGATAAGAGAGCCTCAGACAGTGTCTCTCAGATAGTCTGTAGATGGATTCATATTCAATATGTCTGCATATATATATATATATATATATATATATATATATATATATAATTATATAATTATATAATATTATATAATATATATATAATTATATTTTTTTCATGTTTTACAGCTATACAATTCCAGTTATATGAGTTCAAACATTTCTTTGCTGTCTCTTTTGGTGATGTTAGAAAGAAATATAAACTTTTACAATGTTTATTTCAACAGTTTTTTTGTCATCCACAGGAAATTCACCTTCCATTTCTGAGGCAGTGACCTCAGATCTACCAGCTCCTGAAGAAGTGCTTACTTTCAAACCTTCTGCTCCTCCCTCTGAATCGACCAATGTGGAACTCAGCAGCACTGGCAGAACCAAGAGCCTTCCAGAAACCAGTTGCTGCTCCACTCTGGATCTTCAACATCCAATCCCTCCTCCTCCACCTCCTCTTCTTCTTTCTGCAGACATTCCTGACCTTCCACTTCCATCACCTCCTATCCTTCCTCCCCCTCCGCTTTCAACCAAATCTGCTTCTACCTCCAGTCCTCCTCCTCCTCCTCCCCCAATGCCTCCCCTCAGAGACAGCCCCCAACGTCCCACCACCCTCAATATAAAGACGCTGCCACGGTCCACTGCCAGGGAGAATGGTGGACCTCCACATCGGGTTGATGAAGATGAGGACGAGAAGAAGATGCTGGAAGAGGATCTGAAAAAATGTATTGAAGACTTCAAAAAGATCCGCTTGCCCGCAGCGTTTCCTGACCGCAAGAGGCACTGGCAGAACGACCTGCTAAAGAAGTACAATGCATAAACGAGTTATTTCTCGAACTGATGATAACAAACCCAATTAAACGTTGTATAGACTGCTGGAACTGGCAAAGACAAGATGTGGTATACAGATTTTTCCTGTGTTGCTTTTTGTTATAACACCTCAACAATATGATTAGATAAAGAAAACCTTTTGTAAATATCAAAGTGAGTTTTTAAGGAATCATTTAATCTATTCACAGAAAAGCTTTCTGAACCAGTTATGTCCAAAATAAAAAGTAAAAGCCTTCAACTCCTGATAAATAGTTACCAACACAGCAGCAACAACTGTTACTAGGTGTTTGGCATCACCAGCAGTGAGTCTTTTACATTGCTGTGAAAGGATTATTGTCCATTCTGCTTGCAGACATCTCTGCAGGTTTTATGTGCACAGATGGTTTGTTTAACAACATGCTATTCAGATTTAAGTCCAAATTTTGACTGGACCCGTCCAAATTGTATATTTTTTCAGAGCTATGTAGAGCTGGCCCACTAATGAGCCTTTTGGATACCTTTCAAGCATGGTTGATCTTAAAGAGTTTCAAGCCAAAACTTTAAAGAAAATATTTAGATAAAACGCTGAACATAAAAAAATAAAAAACATCTTGACAATTAACAACTGTGATGGTATGATGGCCTGGGGCTATTTTGCTGATTAGAGACCTGAATGTCATAGTTTAAAGGAATTCTAAATGTTTTCCTTTTTATTTTTGCAAGTTTTTATGCAACTTTTTGAAAAGACCCGACCTATCCACTTAGAAAAAAAAAAATGCACATGCACAACCCTGTACCCGCTCCTGAGAGGGAACGTGTCATAATGGGCTTTAAAGATCTGACCCACATGCAGAGACACACTCAGGGACCAAGGGTAAACGTTTAACAGGTTTATTGTAGGTTAGTAAACACTGATGAAGATTGAAATTGGAAACAATGCTGGAACTCAGCGGACTTGTGAGCTGGAACCGGAAACTCTGAAGGGGAGATCACAGTGATCAGTTCAGGGACACTGGGAAAATAGACTGAGGCTTGAATATTGCTGGAGAGGAACTCACTTTTGGGGGGCTCTTGGTTTATTCTTGGATCCAGTTTGTGGGGGTTTAATCCAGAGAAGAGGGAACTCATTGGAGAGCAGACAGGCAGGCATGTTGGACCCAGAGGAGTAAAGGAGTAGACTGTCGCTTGGTTTTCCAGGAGTGGACTTGAACGGATCATGTGGAGGTTTCCCCTTTGCTCAGTGAGACTCAGTAAATCCTTCCAGGGGTAGAAGGTCCAGGCTTATCCAGAAACACAGGAAGTCTTCTTGCCGAAGAACAAAGACAAAAAACAAGTTCAGACTCAGAGAAAAAATGCTAAGGTTAGACTCTGCTAATCTCAGTTTGGTTAGAGTACCCAATACTGGCAAACACTCTGGCGTCGAGGTGGTGACAGCCCGCTGCTCAAGTACTCCTCTGGTAATGACCCAACGAGCCGCAGGTGTGCAGGGAGGCCAAAATAGGGCACCGCCTGGTGGTGGAGAGAAGAAAACACAAAAAAACAAGTCACACAAACTGGAATCCTAACAGAACGCCTATTAAACGCCTGTGAGAGCGTGCACAAGCCTAGTTCTCCTTGTGCACGCTCTGTTTGAAAAGTTGCTGTTTGCATCGCTCATAAAAGCTTACTTTCCAAAAGAAGATTTGCAATTTTTTTCACAAGACTCACCACTAGTAAGTGAAAATGGGGATGATCACGCAGGACAGCCTTACGCAAACATATCACCAGAATGATTAACAATTAGGAGGACCACTTATTTAGATGATCCACTCGGAAAAAGGAACATCTTCCACTATACCTTTAAGATCAGAACAACTATTTTATTTCTTGGTCTGGGCCTCTCCTGGATTAATCTTAAATGTCCTCTTTGAGCAATTTTGATAGGTTTGTTCCTTCTGGAAAGGTTCACAACTGTTCTATGTTACATTTTACTTCAAAAAGTCTCAGGAACGGTTCTGTAATCTTTCCTGACGGATTTTTACTCTGGATAGTTTTGATTTTAAAAGCTGCTTGGTGATCTGAAACATCTCAGTATAACAAAAACAGCTTAAACAGAGTCAACATGCAATGGGGAAGGAACCTTTTCACAACAATGTAAACAGTTTAGAGAGTGTAAGCAAGTTTACTTCATATAGAGCTCTAAAAAACATTTCTACGGTTAGAGGAAGTGTTATGCTCAGCTTAATGTGATGTCAGTTATCAGACATTCATGCTTTCTTCTGTGTTATGTTGGCTGATCAAGCAACTGGAAAATGCTGACTAATAGTCAAGCTTTAAAGGATTTGACCTTAATGACCCCAAATAAAGAAAAGGAATGAGATTTCTGGAGTTAATCTCTATGAGCTCACCTCATCAATATTATATGGATGGCTTCAAAGCCTTTCTACTGCTCTAATACATGAGCTCCATATTTTGCCTCATTCTGTGTTTATCTTCCAGTTAGCAATGGAAAGAATTCAGAGAGAGAGAGTGGAGCCTATCAGAAGCAGAGCGGGTAATTACAGGCAGGGCTGAATGTGGAATAAGAATGACAGTAATGGCTAGATGAACCACTGTGCGCTTCCGTTTGTTCCTCTGTCTGCACTGCATAAAATGAACAATTACCTGGTGTCTGTGCGTCCTTATTTTTTTGTGCCTTCATTGTGGGAAAAATGTGATAAGCAAGTTCGTATGAAATGAAAGAATAATTGCCTTTTGTCTTTTCAGTTGTTCTGAATGGTGCATAATACGCATGAAGCTCAGTAGGTGTGGCTGAGCAGAAAGGAGGAGAAAAACAGCTCGTGAGGAACAATCTGAATTGCTTTAAATGTGTGCAGGAGCCAAAATATTGCAAAGAAACTGTGACAGCTGTTCCTCACAGAGTTGCTTGTGACAGTTCATGTTGAAATCACTGTTACTGTGGGCATGACGGAAGTACAGGAAAGGTAAGTTTATTTGCATAGAACAAGACACAGATTATATTTGTACAGATAAGCAAAATATATACATACTGTATATGTAGAACAAAAATACAATTAGAGTAACAGTAGAATTTAAGAACCGCGAAAAAAACCCCACATTGAATTTAGCTACAGTATGCCATTATAGAAAATAATTAGTTTTTAGTTGAATTCTATTCAAAAGATCCATGACAGGCATCTTTCATGTGCTGGAAGTCTGAGGTATAAAGAGTGAAAATAAAAAGTGCAGTCCCCTGTGGTGCTCCCCACAATCTGGCTAGACACCTAAACCTTTAGTCCCACAAACTGTAGTCTGTTTGTCAGGTAGTCGCTGGTGATCGAGGCGATTGCTGAAGTCTCCACCTGAGTCCACTGGAGTTTCTGACAAACCAATTTACACTTAATCATAGTAAATGAACACAAAAAAAATCAGTCAAATAGAAGAACAAAGTTTCTTCAACTTTTCCAGCATATAAATCCATTTTTTTGTCAAATGCAGCAATAAGAAGTTTGATGCTTAGGAGCTACATCAGTTTAAACCTATGTAATCTCTAGTCTGTAAAACGGTTGGAAAACCTGATGGGAAAGCACAGATGAGAAGCTTCTTTCTTGGTTTTGTTGGGTGGCCATGACCATTCTTAATCTGTGGGGGCAATTTTCCTTAAATATGCTACATTCTGTTAGCCTCGTGAGACCATCCTGATCTCGCGAGCTTTCAAGGTTTCACTCGCAGATCAGTCTGGCTACTTTCTGTTAAAGGAAATTTGGAGCCGTTCACCAAACGAACGTCCAATCAGCGTTGGCTTTGAGGCGGGTTGAGTGACGCAACGAGAAGCGCGACAGTTCAATCTAAAGAACATGGCGGCTTCAGCCGATGAAACTAGCGTTAGCGTGGCTATCGAGCAAGTTTTATCGGAATTACAGAGTATTTCTTTACTGAAAGAAGAGCAAAACACTGCTCTGGAGGCTTTTCTCAGAGGAAAAGATGTTTTTGCTCTTCTCCCGACTGGTTTCGGCAAGAGTAGCCTGGCATGTGGTTGTGTTTTCGTCATCGCTGTGTTAGTACGTCATATGCTTCGTTGATCTGATTGGTTTATTTGGCCCATCTATTACCAACATAGGCCAATCAGCTAACCAGTATTTTCGCCCCTTGCCAAAATTACTTCAACGGAAGGTTTCCAGATGGATATGCGGAGCAAATCCATCTGGCGGAGTCAGGTTAACATTCTGTGGACTTACAGGTACTTTTTGGCACCAGCTACTGATCCCTATGAGGAAAAGATCTGTTCTTGGAGTGGGAGTTCGGCTTAGGACTACACTGTGAATTGGGTTTAGGTAAGGTTTAGTGTTTAGGGCATGGAAGTCAATGCAGAGTCCCCTAAAGGATAGTGGAACACAAAATGTGTGTGGTTGGACTGCCTTGACAATGACCTTTGCTTATATAGTAGACTACAATCAATTTTAGCCTATAAATATGTATTGTTAAAGCATCTTAATAAGAAGTTTTTATAGGAGCTTTGTTTGTTTTCAGGGTATTTACGAAAGTTTGGCCAAATGTGAAGGCAGCAGAATTTGAAATTGATGTTGTTTCCTTCAGAGATAAACGTCACATGATAAATATTTAACCAGATGCAATGAGGACCCTGAACACAAAAGACAAGCAAGTTATCAGAGGTGGAGAAATGTTGTACTTGAGATGTCACCTAAACTTTGTCTTTTTTCAAAAGTAAAGTAAGTACAGTGTTTTTCAAACACAAAAATAATTTCCTACCAGAATAATGTCTCCTTAATTAATAACATTAGTGATAAAATTCAGGAGTCTGATTGAATATAGGACTGAGACGACTTTAAAATGCTTCTTGCACAGTCAGATAACTGATTACTTGTTTGTTTACCACAACTGTCTTGTTTATGACACAGAATCCAAGAAAAAAATGTTCCAGGTCCACAGGATGTGTGAGGGACAGCATAGAAAACAGCTTTAAGGAGCAACGCTGTAGTCATTCAGCTGACTGCACATCTCTGAATATAT